CTAAACACCCATCACCTGTTTCCAACCCTGGAGCTGTGGTAGGGCACGCTAGGGAAGGCAGCTAAATTCAAACGGGATTAGAACAGAAGGAGCAAGCTGTTTCTTTTCATTCAGATCAGTCCTGTACAAGCAATTTGCCAACAGAGAAGCCTGGGTGCCTTTCCAAGGCGAGGTAGGATCGACCGTCTGGAGGTATAAAACACCACAAGGTGGCAAAGCGAAACACAAGCATTGCAGGATTTGTACTGGTGTGCTGTGATAACTGAATGCCAAGAAAACCTGAATCAAATATCAGCCAAGCAGAAAATACCATGCTCTGAAGCATCATCCCAGAAGAGATTTTGTTATGTTCTGCAGAAGAACACTGGCTAAAACCCAGGCTGTGCTGTCTGGTGCTTGTTGGAGAGCATGTAAGGTGCTTGGTACTTGTAATGATGAAGACACAAAATGCCTATAAAAATGAGGAAGAAGGAGATTCTGTTATCCAGAAGATGCTGCTCTTGCTGCCCCCCAACTCCAACAAACAAAAGCATTAGTATAAGATTGCACATCATGGCTTTGGAAGGGCAGAAAATTGTGAGAGATTTTCCACCTTTGTGACACTAAAAAGAATTTTTGCTAGTTTGTTCCAAGAGGTAGCGCTTTACATAATGATTGTTCCTGGAAGATTTGCTCTACTGGCTGGAAGTGGACTGTGAGCTGGTGTACAGCGTCAAAAAGCATCCCTGTTATGATGGGCAGTGGTTCCACGAGCCTGCCTTATGTGAGAATCTTCTCTGAAAGCTTATTTGGCTCTGACACTCTCTGCATGAATCTTTCCAAGAGGAAACTTTCCAGCTTCTCATCCAAAAACTTCCAGGTCTTGAAAAGACAAAGATGAAACAACATGCCAATGCCTGGCCTTGGCTAGGACAAGAATGCCTGTGCTGACATTACCATGCCTACGGAAACCTACCCTTATCTACAAGGATAAACCTATCTAACAAAACCTATCTTACAAGCTTGAAACTAGCTTAATACCTAAGCCCATGGCATGCCATCACTGGCGATGCACCCGTTCTCCCACAGCCAGCAACACCTGAGCGCAGGATCCGCCTCTCCGCCTGCTTTACCCTTGCGCAGAACAAGATAACGCTGCTCTTCAAAGGAACCTGCCTGTATCTACCTGGGACACAAACATACCAAAATGAGGTCACATCGGACTGTCTTTTGAGGGAGAATGTGAGATATGAAAGGACTGTAATTTCTTTTTTTCTGTGACTCCAAATCACATGCTCACTACCTAGAGCTGGTACTATATGACCTAGCATGAACACGAAGTCATTTACACAGTCCCTGCTTTCCTAAATGTAGTTGTTCCTCTTAAAATATGATTGAAATTCTTTGTTCCTAACTACAAGACTTACTTGCCTTCACTAAAACAAATACTTTGAATAAGTCGAGTAGTCCCAATCACTTTGTATAACTGACTTTTCTACCACTTTTTGTGTCATAAGCAGATGACATGTTTTCTTCCACTAACAAAAAGAACAGATTAAAAAAATGAAAAATCCACAAACACTGCTAAGAACACATTTTATTTTTCTTTTCCTCACACTTCTAGGATTATCCTCTTTCTGGTTACACACAAACACACATACACACACACATAAAGTTTTGTATGAAGAACAGACCTTCCATTTTTATGTGAATAAATCCATGGCATGACCATTTATTTGGCTTGAGCTGCCAGAGAATGCAATTGCGCTTGAAAATGCTCAGGCTGAAATTCTTGACAAAGAGTTAAAATGAATTAATTTGCCTCGTCAGGTGTAGAGCTATATAATGAAGATAAATAGCAGAAGTCGCCTGATGGGTAACAGAAGGTGGAGGGAAGAAAAGGAAGAATTTAAAATTAGAACTCAAGTTTGCAGTAGCCAGAAAAAGACACCTACATGTGTGCAGGCAAATATAATAGATATAGGAACACCAGACTCCTGCCATGCCTTTGCAGACATAACTCCAGATACATGTCTGGAAAAGAAGATATTAATCAGGTGGATAATTTCTGCACTAAGTACTGTGGGGAAAAAACCAAACCAAACCAAACCAAAACACAGACAAAAAACAACAACAAAAAAAAAAACAAACCCAAAAGCCAACCAACCAACAAATCTGCAACAGGTGAGTTCTGGTTGAACCCTTGGAAGTTATTCCCATAAGGAGCAGCATGTTGTCCATGCTGCCTCATGCCTCAGATGCCCCAGGGAACCAGTCTGTTGAGCCCGTTCACTGCAGAGCTGAGAGCGGGTGCGGGACAAAAGCAGCTTTCAGCCTACTTGTCCCTGAGAGAAGGCATGCCCAGACCACGGGGACTGACGCTGCCCCACTGCAGCAACACTGTGGGGATGAGTGTGCCTGGGAAAACCACCACGGCAGCTAAATCTGCTAGATATTGTCAGTCATAGAATCATAGAATTGTTTAGGTTGGAAAAGCCCTTGAAGATCATAAAGTCCAACCGTTCCCCTAACCCTGCCATCCCGCCACAAACCCTGTCTAAACCTCCCCAGGTACAACTTGAGGCCATTTCCTCTCATCCTATTGCTTGTTACTCAGGAGAACAGACCGACCCCCACCTCACTACACCCTCCTTTCAGGCAGTTGTAGAGGGCGATAGCCTCCTCTTCTCCAGGCTAAACAACCCCAGTTCCCTCAGCTGCTCCTCACCAGCCTTGGGCTGCAGACCCCTCACCAGCTTCATTGCCCTTCTCTGGACACGCTCCAGCCCCTCCAGGTCCTTCCGGGAGTGAGGGGCCCAACCTTGAACCCAGCATTCGAGGGGCAGCCTCCCCAGTGCCCAGGACAGGGGCACGATCCCTGCCCTGCTCCTGCTGGCCACACTATTCCTGACACAAGCCAGGATGCCATTGGCCCTCTTGGCCACCTGGGCACACTGCTGGCTCATATTCAGCCGGCTTTCAACCAGTACCCCCAGGTCTTTTTCCGCCATGCAGCTTTCCAGCCACTTTTCCCCAAGCCTGTAGTGTTGCATGGGGCTGTTGTGACTGAAATGCAGAACCCCACACTTGGCCTTGTTGAACCTCATACAGTTGGCCTCGGCCCATGGATCCAGCCTGTCCAGACCCCTCTGCAGATCCCTCAGTCAGAGCTCCATACCTGACTCCAAGAAATGCTTCTCTAAGTCTTCAAGCACTATTTCCTAAATCAAAATTAAACAAGAAGTTGGAACAAGTCTCTGCAGTCAATTCGTATCCATGGGAATGTCTATTCTTCATTTAAACAAGACTGAAGGATTACACTGAAGTTTTGGAAAAATATTAGAGACCACAGGCTGATGTGTAATAGCACTATGAAAAATGATTAGCTCATTAATTCCAGGCACTGTATTAATTTCAAACCCATCATACAGCCTTAATTTTGCAAACAGATGCACTAGTGAAGATCTGAACACCATCGAGATTAGCAATTCTCATCACATGCAGAGAACAGAGGAAGAGGAACGCAGGAGAGAACTGGTGGAGAACTAGAAACGTAGTGCTAAGGTCCACTCTGATGATGAAGATAAGTGACAGAACAGAGACACATGCCGTTCGTTACAAAACAAATTTTGCTAAGGACTGTACTTAATTTGATTGTCCTTAGTAAAGGAAAAGAAAATAAAATATCAATAACACAGTTAATTAAAAAAGCACAATTAAATACTCTCACCAAAATTTTTAGGGATTGTAGATATCTGAAGTATGAAAAGCCCTCTAAAATACATTAACTTCCCCCCCCCCCAAATAAAATAGAAAGAAGGCAAACCAAAATACAACTATGCTTTAGATCTAGAATAAGAGAGTCCTCTAAAAGTAGAATAGTCACAATGAGTGGTGAACAAGAAAAACAAAACCCAAACCCTACTCTTTTTTTTTATTTATTTTTGTATTCTAGTAAATAAGTAATTAGGAAAATAGGTTAAAACCCCCCTCTTCCTCTGCAGAAATGACCACATCTTACAACAGCTATCTTAAAAGTCTAAAGCACAATCTCTATGAAGAACTTATCACTTTGACAGGTACCTCTAAGAGTTATAAGCAAATTTGTGATTTTAATATTCCTGAACTGGATGGTCAGAGTTTGAGATCTGTTCAAAGCTGTTCTTTGATGCCTGTGTCTCTTTAAAAGGATTTTTCAAAATCTTATGTCCAATCTTAGGTTCCAGTCTTGAGTTTTTAGAAGCCTGCTATTAACACCTCCACTGCACTCCTCAGTGCTGTGGTTTCTAGCTTATAAACCTGTGGATCTGTGGACATCTCTTCTGTGAAAGATGAAGAAAATTGCATTTTTCTTGACTGTGCGCTATTTTGCAGTCTGTTCACATGAGAATGTGTAAGTGGATGAACACCTCCTTCAGAAGATAACAGCGTTCCACAAATTGAAAAGCTGATTGAGAAATAATGCTGTAATGTCAAAGACTAGTTCAGTAAGATGAGTTTAGGTATTTTAATTTTTTTTTCTTAATTGCAAAAAAGAGCAGCAATTTACTTCCAGTAAGTCAGGAAATTTTTTTTTTTTTTTTTTTATTTTCAAGAACTAACATACCTCTATGATAGTTGACAGCAAATGTGACAAGCATGTGCCTCTTTAATTCCTTGCTAATATTGTCCCAGAAGCAAAGAATCATTTTCAAGCTTTATGTAGCACTACTTTGCCAAAGAAAAAGAAGCATTTTGCAATTCTTCTTCCATTGCACCACTGTTTTTGTAAATTCCACCTATTATATTTAGTCTATAAAAACACACATCTTTAAAAACTTTGCATAGATACAAATATTGCAGCTCATACTGAAAAAAAAATATATAGGAGTGAGAAACATAAAAGTGCTTCAGTATGCGTTGCAATATTTAATGCCTTAAGGCTATTTTCAACAGCAAGCCCCAGACTACTTCTGAAGGCTCCTGCAACAGTTTGCCAAGACAGACACCGCTGTTTTGCTAAAACATTGTCAAATACTTACTGTGAAGGTACTGAACAATGTTTATTATCCACTCCTCTGTTAACTTCCCAGCTTTTGTTATCTTGGTACACTTCAGCTGACTTGAAAGATCTCTCGATTCAATCCAACAAATTGTGTCCTCTTTGTAGCTATAGTCTAGTGTCAAAATTGCAGATCCTTTTACAGGAGTTCGGGCAGACACTTTGCTTCCATTAAGATATAATATCTCAATTGTTTCAGAGCTTGCAATCAGAAGAAGAGGAGGTCTATCAGCAGGCTCTAAAAACACAGTAAAGAGAATTTAAAGGGTTAACAGACTGTGTATACCACATTTATCTGTTTAGTTTTAACGTAGTTTTTAATGATCTTACCTGCATGTTTTAAGAGATATAATAAAAAATTGGTTTTGTTTTTATTTTCATAACTATCATATATTCCAAATTACTCGTCTATTTTATCCTGCTGTTCTAATGGTTCACATCATTAAAGAAAATTAATTACCCCAGCCCCACAGCTTCTGTTTAATTCCAAGTATCATTATTGCAACATTTTTCATGCCTAAGTCATAAAATGAAATACAAGTTATGCAAATTATTTCTACCCAGATTACTGGCATTTCTAAAAGAATGAAGGCCAGGAAAATCTGCAGAACTTATGAGCACACACGAAATAGAAAGGTACTTATCGTGTTCGAGTCTGTGAACTAAGACAAAAACCAAACAAAACAACCTAACAAAAAACCCAAGGCAATGAAACCTGGCTACTTCGTACACACGGTGGGCCTAACACCGTGTGTTGTAAAGGAGAAAGCATCATGCAGTGGATCCTGACAGCGAAAAGGGAACAGAGGAGGCGTAGTTTCCATTGAGTTACCATTAATGTCACAATACGCAAACAAACAAAAACTATGACGAAGCAATTAATATTAAGATATTGTGTGCAACTTAACGTGTTGCCACATTCACCTGGATCGCTGCCTAGAAATCTTTTTAGTAATTTATAAAAACACCTGAGCAATATGTGAATAATTAAGGGAAAAATAACACCCCAACAGTGAAGAATATGTATCTTAAAATACAAAATCTTCTACTTCAAGTTAAAACTTTAAAAAGTTAAGTTATCCACATAAAGCACCAATTCTCCTTGAGACAAAGTATTTTTAGCATTATGATGAGTGCTACTGGGCGCAAAAGCAGCTGTTCTTGCTTTAGGGGTATCTTTAATTGCATTACTGTCTCGAACATCCAGGGCTGGTTTGAAATTATGCATCTGATTTAGTTAACTGCAAATGAATATTAGTCTCCGTATGATGCAATATGAGGTGTATTTCACGCACTGCTGAAATTAAGTGGCATCTTGTTCTAGATCTAGACTAGTACTTTAAACTGAAATGAAGTCCAAGTTAATCCAGAGCTGTCAGGGGGATGTCTATATCAAACCCATATGCCAGCAGTTCCTCTTTTTTTTTTTTTTTTTTTTTTTTTGGGAAGAACTCCTTCGTTAGAAACGGTAGGGTAACATTGTTTTGCTTCAATTTATAATTAAGAACTGCTGTTGACATAAAATATGTGAATTGGCTGGAAAAAAAAAAAAAAAATCAGACAGATGTCTCTGTTTTAGATAGAGGCGAGAGAAACTGCTTCCTGAAACATCCCCTTCCTATGGGATGTTGTTCAGCCTTCAGAGTCCTGCTCCAACCAAGACTGAGCTGATGCAGGACCTTATGAGACGGTACCCTGAGAGAGGAAGATATGGTGACCCTAAAAACTGGTTCAGGTTTAACTGGAATAACAGTGATGTCTAATTTTGCAATGAGGTATGTTCCTGTGAATCACTTAACGGGAAGTCGTCCTTTGCAACATGGCCAACACCACTACAACATGTCTATTTGCCTATTTGTTAAGTTAAATAATGTTGTCAAGTGAGCAAACTTTCAGATGTTGTATTTAAAAAAAATTACCCAAAACCATAGAAACTCACACTGCAGTTGCAAACATACGTGAAAATATTTGTGTTGCCAAGTCAAGAGCTCTCACCCCAATGTAATCTGCTTGAATTCAAAGGAATAAATCAATGTTTAAAAGCTGTATTGAAATGTAGTGCTTTCAATCAACATTCCACTTAATAAAGTTTTCAAAATCTTACCAAGCAATTCCAGCTGTCTAAATGGAGAGAAAAATTTGCATAAATAAAAGGATTTGCCAGATAATACTTCATCAGCAAGTCTGATTAAAGAGAAAAAAAATGCTTCAGTGAATATGGTGCTCAGTGGTCTCACTCCAATCCACAGAAGTAGGTGTTAAATTCTGTTCTTTGGTGCGATCTGCTTTTATCTGAACATCTTTTGCTGACTTTTTTTTTTTTGTTACATAAAAAAGTTCTTCGCTAGAATGGATCTGCATGTATTCTTTCTAAGTGGATTTCATTTAGTCTTTTCCTATTGTTTCTCATTCCATGACTTATATTCTACCTTGTAACATACTTTTTCCCTCCCCAGTAAAGCCCACGCTGACATCTGCAAAAGCACTCTTCCCTAGAATTACTCTCAGAACTTACTGACTGTCCTCATCTGCCTCAAATTCACTTCCACAAATACCTGTCATATCCATCCATAAGAATATTTTTAAACTTTCGGAAGATCTCTAACAGCTGAAGGGATTGAACTTATTTGTGAACCTCTCTTGTGGTGTAAGCCATGAGTGAAACTGCCTAGTCTTGCTTTTTCTGAAAGAGAAGGCAGTTGGCTTCTTAGTAAGCAATTTGATTTGAAATTGTCCAAGTAGGTCCATTTGCAGTCAACAAGTGGCTGGTGTATGTACATCTCTCTTTACCCCCTATCTTAGAAAGTTCTCCTACCCATCAGAAGAAGAGAGCCAGACTTAAGACCTTCTGTACTGGTACAAAAGGTGTGTTTCCATCTGCATCCGGCTTTGGGGTTCTTTTTCCATCTAACAGCTCGGTGCTCAGCTCCTCCCTTCCCACAAAATAATACTGCTGCCCAATTCTGGATTCAGTCAGTCCTTTCCCAACCAGCAGCAGTGTGAACAATCCTTTATTATTCTTTTTGCCCTTATACTTTGTGTTAAGTCAGATATTTTCACTCTCTGCAATCTCTAAAGCCTTCAAGAGGAGGCAGCTACGCGGGAGCTGTTTGGCGTTGCAAAGCTGGCATGGTTGTTCAGTTGCCCGAGGTTGCGACACAGAACCATATCCTTCCTTGCACTGTTTTGCACTGACCTATTGAAAACTGTAACGAGGATTTAATACCTCACTAAACTCCGGAGAAAGGTTGTATTTTAGTATTAAAGTCTAAGACGTAAGGGAATTCTGAAAAAGAATTAGCGTCAAACCTCCTGAGCAACAGTTGTAATCGAACCTGGCTGCAGACAAAGGAATCGTAAAGACTCGTGACACTGCTAAGAGGTTCTGCTCAGCAGGCACTATTAAACATTAAAAATACATCTGCGTTCTGGCAGAACTTATCCAGAAACTAGATTACTGAGCTTGAAATTATATTTTTCTAGCAGCCCATACATGAAATAATTCAATGGGTTGAATCAGTTAATCATGGGTTTTTTCCACAGTAGGGTAGGTAACCTGCTTATTTCAGTGTTGCTCAGATAAAGGCTGATTTTATAACTAGTTATTTTTTTTTTTTAAAAAAAAGCAGAATTATTTTAGTGATAAAACTATACAAAAAATATTAAAAGTTCCTACAAAAATATGAAAAATATTTAAAGCATCTTACTGTATTGTATAATGCAGATGAAAAACATAAAAGAAGATGAAAAAAAATCACGTCTTCTCCTTCACAACAACCGCTTGTCTGTTTCTCAAGAACAGAATCTACAAAGCTTAGAAGTTTAGTGGACAGATCTAGGATGAGTTACAGTGAGCTGACAGCAGCTTTTCAAATAGCTGGACATCATGTGTGTCATTTCTGCAGGAGATTTTTGGGGTTTTTTGGTAGTGGTTGTTTTTTTTTTTTTTATTTTTTTCATTTTAATAGGAAAGATAAGAAGTGAATAGCTCTCTAATCCAGGAAAGTTTTATGATTCATCCCTCTTGACTAAAATGAAAGCATCTTCCTTTGAATTATGTTTAAGATAGAGTAGTGGAAAAGATGAAAGACTTGCATTTCCCCCCTCCCTCATCTTGCCTAAAATACAGATCACATGTATTGTCACATGTCAATGTGACAAATGATGTCACAACAAATCAGAAACTGAGGCGTTTTGCTCTGCCAACAGTCCCACTTCTCTGGAAGAAAAGCTTCAAAATGGAAGCAATTCTTTTTTATTCACTACAGTGATATGAAAAGGATAAAAAACAGAATTCAGTGTTTACAAGCAGCTTAGAAACCCTTCTGAGGTATGCATTGTAAATTATAAGTACTTTGCTCTTACCAATACATCTATTGTATAAAAGTCTGAAAAATATTTAGTAGTGTTGAATAAAATGTAGTCCAATTTTATTTTGAAATTAATTTTTGATGTTTATCCACAATATGCCCCACAAACGGGCCGCTTTATTTCTAAACCTTCAAAACTTTCTCTCATGATATTTCCCAAGAAAACTGTGTTGTGAAAGGAATTTAAGAATGATGAATGTTTACTAAATATCAGAAAAAAAGCTTTTTGCTGTGATCATTATCAGTTCCTCCTGCTTTATCTACACGACAAACGTTTCTTATCACATGGCATTTCTCCCTATACAGGCTATGCAGATATAAAACATACCAGGAACTTTTGAAAGAAAGATGAGGGTTTTTTCCTCAGCTAAAGATTTCCAATTCCGTCATTTTGTTTCCCTAAACATTCTTTTCATCAAGTGCAGGCCTTGCAGTATAGGCATACAAACTTGGTAAACAAAGAAGTTCTAAAACTCTGTTCAGCAAAGCTATATTTTGTTTCATTTTCACTTCGGAAGAAGTCATTAACTGCTTCTTTATTCATAAAAGAAAATGTGGTTTAAAAGTCTGGAAAAACCCACGGTGTGCCCCCAGCTGTTTTGATACCTATTTTAACATCCTTCCCAAAGGTACTCTGCAGCTAAAAGTTTCCGGCTCCAAAGTTATTTAAATGAGCTGAGAAAGAAAATGCAGAATTTAATGAGAGATAAACCTTACCACCTTCACAGCCAAGCATTTGGCTGCCTGAAGGGTAGTAAAAAAGGAGCTTCTGTGAACTTCTCTGCTAATTGTACCGTACCACATGCGGAACGACGGTTGTGCAGGGATGAGCTGCGGGGCTGTGCAAGAGCTGCAGGTGAGGGAAGGACATGGACCTGTTGGAGCAGGGACAGAGGAGGCTACAAAAATGATCCAAGGGCTGGAGCCCCTCTGCTATGAGGTCAGGCTTGGGAGAGTTGGGGTTGTTCAGCCTGGAGAAGAGAAGGCTGCGGGCAGAGCTGAGTGCGGCCGGTCAGGGCTTAAAGGCGGCCCATAGGAAAGACGGGGACCATCTTTTTAGCAGGGCCAGCTGTGACAGGATAAGGGGTAATGGCTTTAAACTAAAAGAGGGTAGGTTTAGACTAGATATAAGAAAGAAATTCTTTACAATGAGGGTGGTGAAACACTGGAATGGGTTGCCCAGAAAGGTGGTGGAGGCCCCATCCCTGGGAAGATTCAAGGCCAGGTTGGACGGGGCTGTGAGCAACCTGATCTGGTTGAAGACGTCCGTGCTCACTGCAGGGGGGTTGGACTAGATGCCCTCTAAAGGTCCCTTCCAACCCAAAGCATTCTATGATTCTATGATGCTACGTGACCTCCAGTGGTCCCCGCTCCCGTCCCCTGCACCAATGCAGGGCTCCTCCAGACCTGTGCTCACAAACCCAGGTTACCTGCTTGGCACCTTCGGTAACTGGGGCCTCAACCACGTCCCCCACTTCTCTACTCATAAATATTCAGAAACCTCCCACTCAATTTACAGAGAGAACTAAAATGTGGCAAGGGGCTGATAGTTTGGTGTTGCACACTGTGCGGTATCTAAGATCTCAACGTGGACAGCAATTCATATTCTTAGCAGATCTGCTCTTATTAACATTGAAAGCTTTACATAATGCCTAACCTAACCTAAATCTCTACTGCTGCTTCTTATCTTTCATAGCTTTTACACATAGAGCAGAATATTCCTTAGCTCATTTTCTTTATCTATTTGACAACTACTTTTGTCAAATGTAGACAAAGCGGATAGTTTGCTCTTTCCATCCTTATTTTCTTTAGGCATTTTAAGGAAAAAGAAAAGGTTGGTCATTTTTCTAAGTGCTCTTATTTTTTTTTCCCTTAGACACCTTTTTTTTCCTGGATCCTGTTCTACTGATCCACAGCAGGCTTGTGTGATGCCCCTCACTGGATGTCATATCCCAGCTGAAGCCTTCCCAGCACTGAATAAGTAGCAGGATTACTTCCTATGTCTTGGAAGTAATAATCCTACTTGTATGTACCAGCGTAGTACCTCTTCCCCTGTGCAACCAGGTGACATGGACTCATTTTTGACTTGTGATCCATTTACATATTTTAGATATTTTTCACCAGTCTAGATACTTTTCACCCGTCTATTTGTGCAGGGCCACACTTTACTTTTGTCCCCGCTCAAACCTTATCCTACAAGGCAGAAATTTGTGAAAAGCAGCTTGTATGATGGGTGAAGCGGTGAATGTAACGGTAAGGGTATAGGAAAGCAACCTGCCCATACATGGAAACTTCACTATTTTCCACCCTGTAAGTCGGGCCCAGTGAAGCAACATAAGCGATTAAAAGTCATTGCAGCTCTTGCAGAGCTCTGCGATAAAGGCACCTTCATTACTGTGCCAGGCATCTTTTTGACCTCTGTGCCCTACGATGCATTTGACACAAATATCCAACATATTGATAACTTAATCCAGCATTAATTCAAGGAAAAGTTGTGTTTACACAAAAAAACCCAATATACTGAGCAGCACTCATTTCTTTGCAGCATCATGATCTTGACTTAAACTGTCCCGCTGTGACTTCTCTGACTAATGACTAGTGATTCCCTTCTGAAAATAACAGAAAAGATGAAAATTACTGTAAAATAAACATAATCAAGTATTAAGAAAGACAGAAGAGCAGTTCTCCCCTGTTCATCTGATTCATTTCATCAATACCACCAAGACCCTGACAGCTCACTACAGTGCTCAGCTGTTCCACAGTCTGCTGGATCTAAAAAGGGAACTCAAAGGTTCATCTCAAGCCCATTACTGGCACCATGAGGATTTCCTGGTCTAGAACTCCGTTATTGATTTTCATGTAGTGGAGGAAGAAGAATATTAAAATGTTTTTCCTTTGTATGGACTTTCTTATCTCACAACACTTCGCTGCGGATTTTTTAAAAAAAAATTGCTCAGCAACGTTGTGTGGATCAATACAAAACTTGGTACAAGCAGCAAAAAAATCTGTAGCTCTTACTGGTGCTCAACTCAGAACATACTTAGCAATGTTCTTTACATGAGAAAGCCTCAAAAAAACCCACTAGAGCTTCCTATTTTCTGATGGCAAAGTAACTACAAAAAGGAAGACTTAAAAAATATATAACAAACATGCCTTTATACTTGGGTGTTGAACCATTGTGGATGTTGAATAATTGCTTAAGGAACTTTTGGGGGGGTTTAATATAAAATTAATTCACTATGCTGAGTAAGAAAGTACTGCATACAATATCACTTCATTGAACACCATTTACTAATTTCCTCAAATACCCAATTCACTATTACTAATGAAAACATGCACTAACAACAAAAGGCCTAGAATGAATATGTATATCACAAAATTCACCTTTTGGGATATTGCAAGGACAAAGCAACCTCATGTCTTTTAATATCCTAAGAGTGTACAATTACCTCACGATCATTTCCTCTGTCTTTTCAATATCTCCCTTGTCTTCCCAGAGTAAACAGCCTATTTTTTTTTTTTTTTGTGTGTGAGGAAAATATTTGATTTATTTATAAAGAGGAAAACTGGGAACTGTTCTAGTCCTGGTTGAATTGAGTATTTCACTTTAATTAATAATAACCATATAATAACTTCTAATATTTCCCTTGGAGTATTGTTGTAATATGTGAAAAGTTTTCCTAGGGTTGTTGTGTGGCTCTTTGCAGTACATGGAAGGGAAGTCCTTCTCTCCTATGTTCATCTCTGTCTATCTTCATATGTATCCTCTAGATAGGACCAAAATACAAAATATTTTCATTAAGGTGAAAAGATGTTAAAACTTACCATTTTTGGCCTTGCAGGATTTGTCATCAGACTGAAGTACATAACCTTCCACACAGCTGCAAGCGTATGATCCGTCTGTATTTATGCACATCTGGCTACAGCTTCCATATGTATCACATTCATTCAAATCTAAAGGGACATCAACAAGATCTTGTTTAAGGATTAGAAACAAAACAAATTAAACAAAAAATCAGAATTCTAACAGAAAAGTTTAAGTCATGAAGTCATTATGGTATGATGCTTTATGTTCTCCCCCTTCTCAAGCCGTGACCTTATCATGGATATTGGCTGTTGAAATTACTCCAGTAATCAAACAAAAGGCCAGGAGCTTTCACGTTTAACAGCTACTAATTCTGAAAGATGAAACCTTAATTTGTTCAAGTAGTATCCAATGACTACATCATATTAGGGAGACATTTGGGGTTTTGTTAGTGCTAGAGACCACTGGTTATCAGGGTCGATGTATGAAGCAACATTTCAAGAGAGGAAATAATTGATTATCCTTCTCAACCTATTTATGCTGGCAATGTCTTATAGTTCCTTAAATGAACTGTCACAACTTCTACATTAAACCATCATCCACTACATCAAACCCTATATATTTCTCTAATAGATATAAAGAACAATTTTCCCAACTAGGGTATATAGGCATAATACCATAAAATCAAGGCATGCTATTTAACAGTGGTTGAGGGTTTAAGTAATAAATTGACATTTTAAAAAACTGCTGTTGAAATTATTTCCTCAGATATATTTTCAATCACAAAACATGACAACCATAGAGCAAAAGAACTTATAATAAATTATATTTATGAAGAATCTGGCTTAGCACTATTACTTGGAGAGAGGAGTGATTGGTAATGAGCACATACATAAGGCAACAGAACTCCAATCTGCTTATAAAAAGAGAAAAAATAAAACAAGAAACAAATACCTGGATAGAGAATTAAGAAGTCATATATTTAAAAAATGGAAAAGAACACCAATTTCAGTCTACAATTAATTACGCCGAAATAACATTCCCAGCTAAGTCGTATGATCTGGGACTGTTCATTTATCAAATTCTAATCTAGGTGTGACTTTATGGGCACAAGGTGAAATGCTGTAAGTTTTACAGGGTCTCCTGGCAGTGAGGTCTGGAGAGCAGCTCCCAGAATGAGCTGTAGGCTTGTCTGAGCGGTGGGAACCACTCCTCACCTTCTGCAATCTGGGGCTGCTTTCTTCCCAGTAACTTGGCAATAGCTACCGCTGGGGCACGGAAGCACCAAAGGATCAGCAGGGAGGCCCTGACTCTCGTTTCGAAGCGGGGTTCTTTCCCTCTGCCTGCACACACGCCCACGCTCATTCCTGATGAACACCCTTGAAGATGGGTGAGGAAAGAGCTGTGCTGGCCAGCCTGCCACTGGCCGGAGCTGGCAGCCCACCGCCAGCTCCCTGTCCCTGACAGCCACCAGGGAACCACTAGGAAACCCGGGTGTAAATGTTCCAGCGCATTTCTTGCTTACCTGTGCAGCTTCTTCCATCGCTGCTTGTTTCATATCCATCTCCACAGTAACACCTGGTGCCGTTCCTGGTAATGGCACATTTGTACTGGCAATTCATCTGCTGGCATTTGGGCAGCAATTCTGTAATAATATTATTTGGAGTAAAATGTTACTAAGTATTTTTATTATTATTTATAAATCGCAAATTTTAGAAACTTTTATATATATGTAAGTGCATGTCTCAGGAAGGAAATGCCACCACCATTGATGTTAGCTGGTTTTGGAAATATGACATATAATACATCGCAAAATGCTTGCTCTGAAAATTGCATTTCAGCAAGTTAATGAATAGAAATCAGCATTTTATTTCCATCAAAAGTTGCTCACAGGTTTATTATCGAGGTGTGCTGTTGCTCTGCTTAGACATCCACTTTTTGCACATCAGTCATTTTCAGTCAAAGCAATGACTTGGAAAAAAAACCACCAAAGCTCAAACAGTTAGATTAGAGTTATAAAAAACAGCCAAGGTTATGAGAAAGGTTTCAACATCTGTGTCTTTCCTATTCCTCATATCAATTGATTTTCTATCTTTTTAAAGCTTGTTTTGATTTACTGATACACATATAACCTTCACAGCAATCAATGGGAATACATTCTGGCTCAATAATTTAATGTTGGACACGTAATGTTGGATAAACAGTGGACACGGTGTATGTCATTACTATTGAAGCCCCTCACTGAATCTATTGCTTAAATACACGCCATCAGCACAAGGCATGATGTTAACAACCAGAGGAAATATTGTAGAAATATCCACTGTAATGATTTCCAGCATGAAACAGCATGAAAACAAACTAAAAAAAACCCAAACCTCAAACACTTCCCAGCCCCAAGCTGTATGACGTGTATCAATAATTTTGCTGATTAAAAAAAAAAAGAATATTCTAATGAGCAACAACAGTTTTCCCTCCAGGAAAATAAGAAAAGGATAGAGGAAAACAGCTTAAGGAGTTGATCCGAAGATATTTTTCAAACCTATACGCAGATGGATCAGAAAATAACCTGCAAGTGGAGAGACAAAGGTTCTGTTACAGGGTTGGCTTTAAGTAACTGGGTATATCCTAAAGAAAAAGAGAAGTCTGGAGTTCAATATGCGGGCAGTTTTAATCTGTCTGATCATTATTCACCAAGTTCTACTCGGGAGTAGAATAAAAATGAAGAAGAGTCTACAACAGCATCTGATCCCCAGGGGCTTCGATTCTGGAACATCTGCCGGTGTCAAAGTAAAGCTGAAATTTTGGGAGAAAAGTGGTTTCGGCTGGCACCCGAAGTTACTACTTACTATAATGCAGCTATTCTAAAAACAAAGAGGTTTCACACAATTTTCACAGGGCATTCCCTAGAATTCTATAATCCACACAATCTACAGGCTGACTACAGACTGATAAACCATCCGCTGTCTAAATCTGCCCATTTTCCAAGTGGTTTGTGTGTTATTTCTCTGCCTTTTGTGCCCTTGTGAATAGGAAGATAATACATTTTTTTTTGGCCGTAGCTTGCTTTGTTGCTTTCTTGTCCCTAGTCCAGCCCTTAAATCTATGACACCTTTCCAAGAACAAGTCCCAAGCAGAATGCAAACCAGGAAGCTTCCCTAAAGGCAAGCTAAAATGGGTCTGCAGGCCAAGGTGTGGAGCTGGAACCGAGGCCGATTAGGTGGTATCTGTTTATTTAATGTTTCTATCTGAACAAAATGGACATACACACTTCATTTTCTAAGCAGACCAGGGATCAAACATCCTTTACAACCTATAATTTTCTTCCTCAAATATTTGCCTTATGCTATACAGCCAGGAGCTCTTACCGGACGCAAACTATTGGACTTACAAGCTTGTTTGCCCTCCTTCCAGAACAGATGCAGACAGAAAGCACTTTAAACCAGAACTGTGGGACCTGCACGCAGCCCGTAAAGGCTGCTGGGGAACAGCAACAATAAATTGGCAAGTGACATCCATTAAGGGAAAATGAATAAAAGCAGTCTATCTGCTCACATTTTTTAAAAAACCTGTTGCATTTCCTTGATTTTAAATCATTGCAGCATCAAGGGGGTGGCCTTTGACAACAAAACGGTCGCATTTTCCTTACAGTAAGTACAGCTGCACCACTTCTGCCAAAAATATTTCTTGTCACACATCTCAACCCTCATTCTTTCTGCACCTTTTCATTTTTCATGCTGTCTCACAACTTCGTTGGTGTCCTCATCCCATCTGCTATGCTTTTAGAAAAGGCTTCTCTGAGGAGGCATTCTACTTATACTTCCTTCACTTAGGCAAGTCCTTACATTCACTTCATTGTGAATACTGCCCGATCCTATTGCTCAATTAACGAAATCATTTCGAATTTCTCAAAAGACATGTTTCTGGTCTGCTGTCAGTAACGGTTTGAGACAGTTAAAACTGGGCCAGTGAAAAAACCAAAATATCGTCTCTCATTTTAGCCAGCTAGGAAAAGAAGCAACCTATCATTTGCCTCAAGTTTTACACTAAAACTACTTTTACTAGTTTCCCTGCAGGGAGACGCTGGCCAGCAAGGAATTCTTCAAACACACCAGACTACCCCACAAATCCATTTATAAATTACTGTTGACTGCCATACGTTTCTGATTTCAAACCAACCTTTCCCCCCACCTAAATTATCCATCGGATTATCACAACAGTCCTTTACCTCCATTCGCAGCTCTGGTGTAGAGCTTTCTGATTGCCTGTGTGAGGGACACCTTCATGCCCCAGAACATTTTTGCTCTTTTGATGGTCTGCCAAATCGGCCGGGGGAATCCACAGAGGGAAAGCAAAAAATCACAACAACATCAAGGGTAAGCAAATATATCTTCTATTTTACTAGTTCTTTTGTTTTCTTAATTTCAAGTAACTGATCCTGAAAACCTTTGGAAGAAAACGGAGTTTGCTTGCCTCTGGAAATGTCTGAAGTATTGAAGGACATGCTATGGAAGACTGTATACCTTTATGGTTTGGTTAGATTTGTAACAGGCTTCTTGGGAAGAGGTGAGGAGGCAAAGAAAAATCATAAAGCAGTGAACTCTGATATTTTTAATGCTCCAGATAGGAAATTTAAAGAGGTAAAAGCCAGGGGCCCTCATTTCTTGTTCTTTCCTACCTTGCTTTCCAATCAGAGTAAAATTCTGCACCCACATTGGTCTCCCTTTCTCAATAGGAATTGGTTTACAAAGTACATCAGCAGTGAAGAATGAGCGTCGCTGAGCTTTCCACTTTCATCACAGCTACGGAAACCTCTGAATTTGTCAAAGCATGGTATTTCTGCCGGAAGATTTAAAGGAAGAAGCTGCACCGAGGGAAAGCAAAAGGACAGAGCTTTATAGCTCGCAAGGAGACCCACAATTCAAGACCTGGAACTGCAGAGCAAGGCAGGAGATTTGCAGAAATACAAGGTAGCAGAAGTAGTTGTGAGTGCCTTTAGGATGATCTATTTTCTCAAAGCCCAGGGAGTACTGACAATTCATCTAGCTCTGATTTAGGTCATTTCGTTCAGAGTTTTCTTTCTTCCACAGGAGACATGAAGGGCGGCATTTTTTTCTTCCCTATGTCCCTGTGAACAAGCCTCTCTCAAGTTGAGCTCCAGCTCTACCACAAAAGCCACCCCGCTTTCTCAAAGACGCTCATGTCAATCTTATGCTTCCTGACTTTCATATTCCTCTACCTCCCAGGTATCTAGTCCCATAGGAGAGCAGTCAATCAGGCAAAGATGCTGCTGATCTCACCTCCCCTAAAGTGATATACCTTTGACAGTGACTCAGAGGAGCTGTAAGCCTCTTGGACAAACTGCTCCCGCAGGACTTCACAGTAATAAAATCCTGGCTTCATTTATTCCTTCTGTGTCCAAGGAAAATACACTGCTTATCATAGTCCATCCAAGATGAATGATATAAGGAACTATCATCTCCTGAATGTCTTTTTAATGAAAGGATTAACCAGTCGATCTGGCTATCCTTTTTGTCAGGTCCTCCTGAGCTGACGTGAGGTTCACAATAGGTTCACACCAGGTTCTCAAGCTTAGATGTTTTGGCTGTTTCTATTAACAAAAAAAGCAGTTCATCTTGCATTTTCTTAATACTGGAAACTTGGGGAATTTCGAGCAGTAGAGTGGATTTATGAAGATATCTCACTTAGCTTTGCCTTCCCTGAGAGGATGAAAGAGGACTAGATTCCCACCCAGCGAAATGCATTCAGATGCCATTATTTCTGAGTTACCTGGATGATAATAAGGCCTTTTGGTTGTAGTGGGTTCCCGATTACGTTTCCTAAGTAGATCTCTAATATATAAACCCTGTGCTGCTCTTTTTGCAATGAAACTATATGCTGGAGAGTATAGACAAATTTACAGCACTCCGTAAATTAAAATTCACCAATTATATCATGATGATAATCATCAATAATACAGAGCTGGAGTAAATAAAAGAAGCTGGCTGAAGTTTAATAGTCCAAAGTGCAAGGTAATATGCTTGGGGATTAATAGCAAAGCTTCTGCTGTCAGTTTGGGATTTCACAATTTGAAACAACAAAAGAACAAATAGTTCATCAGAGAATGATTACGAGCTACCAGTGCAATGCTGCCTGGAAAAAAGGCAAATGCATCCCTGGGAGGATTGGGATAAGTATTTCCCACAGGAAAGTGTTGATATCAAGGCCCAGGATGCTCGTGGGTCCTTTTCTTCCAGGATGCAGCTATTTGTGGCTGTGCCCACCCCGATGGATATCTGGGAGACGACCTCAGATCAGGATCAGAGAACGGCCTCAGGGATTAGCAGGGGAACGGAAAGCTGCAATCTGAGGGGAGACTGCAAGTTTGTGTGTTGATTGGCGCCAGCAGACAAAAGCGAAGAGGAATTATGACTGCTGCCTATGAACATATAAGGGAAAGAGATAATTTAAGCTATAGGACTATTGGTAGAAGTACACGTGGATATAAATTGCCCATTAATAAATTCTGGCTGAAAATAAGAAGGTTCTTAGCTCTTTACCATAATCTGGTTCTAGAACTCCTCTGAATGGGAAGAGCAGAAACAGAAAATAAATAAATGCTTTTGACGTGGATCACGATAGATTCAC